CTTGGAAGGGCGTGGGGTTTAGTATGTACATACTGTAGATACTATTTACATGGTTTAAATGCCATACTTAGCCAAGCTGACTTATGGATGTTATATAAGTCACTTAGCAAGTGGATTTAAAGCATATGTCTATATGTACTTAGGTCATTTATCCTATGTTGGCTAAGTGCGGTAACTCGTTCCGTGCACATCAACAAATAGCAATAAACGTATAGAATGTTTATGTAGATATACACAAACACCACGTTATTACACATCGCATTGCAGGGCAGCTTGCTCGCATGCAGACTATATTTTTATGCAGATATACACAAACACACACGTCATTACACATCGCATTGCAGGGCAGCTTGCTCGCATGCAGACTTTTTCACGGCACAACCAATGCCGTATTGTCAGCATGCCGTCGATGCAGGCATGCTTTCTGGATGCTTGCACACGGAACGAAAACTGGGGCATCGATCGAGACTTGGAAGCGATTCTGCCCCAATGCAATCCATGGTGCAACCAGTGAGTGCAGCTGCTTGCCCTTCGGCTGCACATGCAGCCATACTTCCACGACGTGGCCGCCGCTGCAAAGCACGATGTCTCCACGTTCACAGGTTTGCCCCGGCTCGAAGCGGCAAACTGTGGAAGCCTGAGCACCTTCTGCAGACCCGAAGACTCGAGTGATCTCTGCCAGAAGCTGGGTGCCAGCCGGCTTCGGACCGTTCAAGCATGGGAACTCGAAGGCATGCGGCTCTTTCATGCCTAAGAAGGCTCGGCCCCAGACGTCTTCCAAGATCGTTCGCTCGAAGGTCGGTGTCACCTTGTGAATGTTGTTGGCTATCATTTTGATCTCTCGGTGCTTCCGTTCGTGACAGAAGCAGCTGTATAGAACTTTGTGCTGCTGGAGCATCCATGGAAGATGGAGAGCGAAATGGAACTTTGGTATGCATGCTTCTGCTCCATGGACAGCGAGAAAAGATTTAGCATGCTTCTCCAAAGCCGTTGCAAGCTCATCGTGCCTAATCGCTCTGCCCTTGTTGCACTCGTGCAGCAAATCCAGCACTCGGCACAGATCAAGGAAGCATCGTGCTGCTGGCATCGTTGCCGCAGACAATTCCCCGTTCTGAGCCTTGCAAAGGATGAACAACCGGAGCAGTGGATACAGGCTCAAACCTTGCGAGGCTGAACACTTGAAGTCGCTTGCGATCTTTTTCTCCATGGTTTCGAGGACCTCCTTTCTTTGTGCTCGCAGACCATGCGGCCAAGCAAACGATGCCAAGAAGTTGACGATATCCGCATGGGTGCAGTCACTGTAAAGGTATGGCATCGTGAGGTTAACTTGCAGCTGCATCAGACCCGACACTAAGAAAATGTGCATCCAATCAAACATTGTAACCTTGCATGCTGGCAAGATTCTGGATGCCAGGAGGCCTGTCGGGCAGTGATTCAATCCCATGGATTGCTGAAGTTTGGCGAATTCGCCTTTGTTCAAAGTCAAGGATCGACGATCTAGAAGATCATGTGCATCCCACAGTGCATTACTGCTGCGAAGCTGGAACTTCCGTCGATCCCACTCAGATATAGTCACGAGGGTGCCAGATGCATCCCATGTGTCGAGGCGAGTGTTGTGTGCCACGACATTGGCACAGAAAATGCACGGCACGGATCCGCTGGCACCCTTCACATCCCAAACGTACTTCAAGCAGCTTTCGTCTGCCACTAGCACACTGGTCTCTGCGAAGAACATGTGGTGTTGTCCTTGCCCCAGGTCCAGCATGCAGCCCTGGCTCAGATCAAAGGGCGGCTTTTGCATGGCCTGTAGCATGAGCTTGAAGAGCTCGGACAGGCCACCCGGAATCCTGTTGACGATGTCGCTTCGGGCGACCAGGATGGTAAACCAGTACTGCTCAGCATGAACCTTGTCGCCGAACTCTGCGAAGCTGAGATAGATCGCATGCAGTTTTCTGCTATTGACTGGTTTTAATGCATTACCTGGTGTTATTTCGTCCCCGTAGAGGAGTATCCTCCACGGGGCATGCAAGGAGCTCGGAGTCTCCAGCAGCTTGCCAACAAAAAAATCCCGAAAACCTTGCAAAGAAGCCAAGCAGTGTGCCAACAAAGCAGGGAGGTACACCATGGGGAGAACGTGCTCTTTCAATCGCCCCTCCTTGTCCTGGATGTTCACGGTGAGAGACTGGAACATTGCACCCATGGAAGTCTCCCCCCTGGTTTCTGAATCCCGAGCCCTCTTGATAGTTCTTCGGGATGAAGTCTCTGGGATATGACCGATGTCTCTAAGCTCTGCTAGCAGTGTCTCGAGGCCATTCAAGCTCACGTAGGACTTCCTGCCCAAACTTGCAAGCGGGTTCGACATTGCAAGAGCCCCTGCATTCGCGAGCTATTAGCCCTGCGATCGGAGCCCCCGCGGATCTATCAAAGCAACATGAGAATTTTCATATGCAAGGAGATATAAACATTCGCTATAGAGATGCCTTTCATATCACCATGCATGCATTCATCAAGACTGCAAACATTGCGAACCTGTAGATATGAGCAACAAAGGTGAGTGCTGGATCGTGCAGCAGGACATTCAGCTGCCGACGGCATGAATGCACCGAGCACATGCACAGGGACTTTGTTTTCTCCCGGATCCGCTTGCATACGATGCACGATATCGCCAGCATCGGTTCCATGTCCTTCGCACACAGGAAGTGTCTGAGTATATAGAGTGTCACCGGTTTACAAACATATATATACACACCCCTAAACCCTATAAGCCGCTAAACCCCTAAACCCTAANNTAAACCCTTAAACCCTATATATAAACCCTAAACCCTAGCATGCACCTGATATTCCAAGTTGGAACAATCGCTCCAACCATGCAGCACATGCAGATCAAATCACAACAATCGCGTTTTCCCCTCTGATGCCGATGATGCTGCAAAATCACCTGAATATGATACGAATGTGCTTTACTACAGTGCTTATATGGCCCATGCACTTTGCAGTGGTTGCACAATCACTTCAGCACAGCATTTTGCTGGCTTACTTAGGCAAAGCAGCTGGGTGTGCACCCAACCTTGTGGCGACACTTCGAGCAGCCTGTGGGGCGGAGGAGCATCCGCTTCGCGGGTGTCAGGGATCGATAATGCTCCCGGTCCTTAATCTTCTTGCCGCTGGGAGATGCCTTCGCCTTCGGCGCCGATTTGGCTTTCGTGACCTTCTTCACCGAAGCCTTTGCTTTCGGCTGTGCTTTGGCTTTGGCCTTGGCCAAAGCTTTGGACTTGGGCTTGGACTTGGCCTTCGCCTTACAGTCCTGCTTTGCATCTTCACGTGCATTCTTTTTCTTGTCCAATGCATCTGCAATGACCCCTGCTGCAGTCTCCGCATTGAC